GAGTTTTACCTACTTTATCAGTAATGACTCTCCAAGATCTTGGGAGATTTATTTTCACCACCTGTTACTTGATCTTTTTAATTGAAGACTCCAGGGATTGAACGTAGCCTTATGTGCATCCAGTGCATTGCTATCTGTCACTGATGTATGGCTCCTCTCCTAATAGACTCAATCCTTCTTAAGCCTAATGAAATCAGTGGGCTAAAGAACACAAGAGTATTGGCATTGTCTTTCTCTATATAGTTGCAATGATATGTGTGGAATTGTCTTTTCAACCGAGAATAAACAAAACATAGCTTCTAAAACTTGGAAATTATACAATCATTATTAGAGGGAAGGAGACAATATAGAGTAAAAAAATGTAGTACACAAAGAAAACAAATTCATAGACAGAATTCAAAAGAACATTAAGATTTTTAACTGATACATTACTAAAAGAATGTATTCCTTTACTCTTTATTTAGTTGCTTATTATAAAAATATATTAAATATACAACTACATTATTTTTCTCCTGTTCCTTTCTGTTGAAAATATATATTCCCATTGAGTGATAAAACAGGAAATAAATACTTTTTATACTGTAGCTAGATTAATGGAGAATAATGTGTATTGTTTCAGCCATCTGAATGGAAAGGTATAGATATACCCGTGTGAAGAAGAGCTGTACTGACAGTTATTTTAAAAATTGAGTGATTACATATAAACAGAGAGCTTCTAGTCCCATATTAATGTAGGTGTGTGGGTGTATATGTGTATATATACACACACAAACACATGCACACACATATATACATACACTTGTATCTTCCTCACATTTACTTAAAAGTAAGGACATTGAGCAGTAGCTTCAGATACAGATAGTCCTTGAGTTATGCACATTCAATCAGTGACACTACAATTTTATGGCAGCACTGAACAAAGGGGGACACCATTGGTCCCCAAAGTTACAGCAGTTGCAGCACTTCTGCAGTTAATGTGATCAAAATTTGGCACCTGGCAGCTTGCCAGCACTTACGACTGCAGGGGTGCTTCAATTCCCCCCTCACATCTACCTGCCCCCATCTATGCCCTTTTGACTCCCTGCTATCCATGCCACATGCCCCCTAGTTAACCTTGGCTATCTGCTTGCTTCCACTGCTGACCATGCATGCCCAGCCGGGCCCTTCACAAAACAGCTGCTGGCTGCATGAGACTTTCTTTCCCAGGTCACACACTGCAGTTTCCTCGCAAGACCTGGAGAAAATGCACTCGTGGCAGCAGCTGCCTCATGAAGGGCCAGGGTGCACCTGCTTCATCATCAGCAGCAGAAAGAAATTGGAAAAGATCAGCTGGGGCTTTGGAGTGACAGGGACCTTGGAGTACAGGGCAACTGTGGGTGGGACTGGGCTGAGGTGTCCCAGAATGACTGTGGCTTGTACTACACTGTTGCTACTGGGGCTTCCCAGGGCACAGCAGCTTTGCATTGTACTGTTGGGATGACTGAGGCGTCTAGAGGCAGCTGCAGCTTTGTACTATGCTGCAGATTGGGGGCTTTTTGCTGCCCCAGAGCTGCAGCCCACCAAGAAACCCTTCAGTGCAGAGTGGCAAACAGCCCTGGAGATGTTTGGGTCTGTTTTTTGGTTTTTTTTGCTGCCCTGAAAAGCAGGATGCAGGACAGCTAAAAAGGCCAAACCCAGAATGGCTTAGATTGTGATGGATCAACCATGGAATTCAGTTAACAATAGCAATGCTGTCAATAAGTGATCTGGTCACTCAGTGTCATGCTTTATGGTCACATTGCTTAGCAATGAAACTTCTGATACCATTTGTCATAAATCAAGGATTACCTGTATTATTAATTTGGTCATTCCTACACCACCCCCCATGCATAGCATTCTTCTGAATCTTGCTGGTGCTTGTTATGATCAAGGAAGAATTTTCCCAGAAGGAATTATTGGGAATTTGGAAATGAATATGCATTTAATGTTGGATTGAAGGGGGGCATCATTTCAGACGAATTCAACATTCAAATGCAAGAAAGAGAGAAGGGAAGGAACTGACAGTATTTTAAGAGTAGCCATTATGTTCAAACAACAACAATTCAAATAGCTATAAAATGTTATCAGTGCAGGCCAGATAGTTGTCTTTTCCTTTGTTTAGTGAAGGGATTGCTGCTTCTGCCAGTGGTTTCCTGGCAATTGGCTTTTGGCACATCACTATTGTTCAAATAGACTTTTCCAAAGACATAGCTCCTTGATTGCTAACTTAAAGTTTGCTTTACAGAGCTTGCTTATCATGTACAGTTGCATGCTCCATAGTTTCAACCATAACAAGAGTTGTGGCAAGATGCTGTCTTTGTGGGATTAACAACTGCCCAGGCAGAGCTCATGTTTTTTTTAGGAGGTTGCTTGTTTGTGTAAACTAGTCTGTAATCCATATACGCTAACAAAATATAATACAATAAGGTTGCAAAAAAACAAAAACAACTCTATTAGAAAAGTCTAGGAATGAAACTAAACTTGGCAGGCAAATTGAAAAGCCAAAAAAAAAGAAAAAGGAAATATTTCTTCTATACATGTGACTGTATTTTTAAATATAAAATATAATTTATATGGCTTTTCCCTTAACAGATAAAGAGCAAACCCACCATAATCATTACAATGATACTTTTTCATAAACAGTATTAAAATGCATAAAATAACACATTACTTCCAAGCTAGCAAACCTGATGTACCTATATGGTAATTATAGTACATGTATAACAGTACCTGAAAGATGTTAAAATCCAGACTATTAGCATCTATTAAATACATGGGCAATAAAAGAAATATTCTTATTTATTCCATTTCATGTCTTTAAAAATAGTTTTTGTTTGCATTTTAAGAGCTTAAGTTAAAGAAAAAAAAATACCCTAGTAGTCTAATTTACAAGTAGGTTATATAGTCCTGAAATTATATGTGAAAAACAAAGAAAAAAAACATTTGCATGAGAAGCCAAGTAGAAGTGTTTACTGAAATTAGACAAAAAGACTATTCGTCAAGATCATTTTCCTGTGTTTCTTTTCTCTGACGCAAGATACCCTTTTAAGCATTTCTATTTTTGAATGGAACCAAGAACCAATTTAGTATAGTGGTTAGGGGCACCAGGAGACAGTGAGTTCCAGTTCTGCCTTGGGCACAAAGCATCTAGGTGACTTTGAGCCAGTCACTCTCAACCCTAGAAAAAAAGGAGCTGGCAAAGCACTTCTGAAATTGCCAAGAAAACTGCAAGAGCCTGTGTAGTCACCAGTAGTAAGACTGACTCAAAGGCACCTGCCCCCAAACCCACTGTAAACTAGAAGTTGAAATTGTACATTAATTGTAAACTAAAAACTGAACTTATTGTTAAGTTCCCTTACATGGCTAGACCATCTTACGTTTTCCTCGTATAGGCTAGTCATATCCATTCTTGAATTATAAATTAAAAATTCTCTATAAATGTCTTTACACTATTACTTATTTGCAATTTGTGCATGGCTTTCAGAGCATGCAAATATACTCATTATATTGGTACAGAACTTATTCCATGCAAAAATGCGATGATGTAGCCAAATTAGATCTATGTAATTTTTATAAGAGATACAGATAACAGCATTTTCTTTCAGGAATATGACATGGCTACTAAAGTTTATAGCTCAAACGTCTGGCTTATGAAAGGTATCTGTGGAAGTGGCTATTTATGAACACCAATTCCTATATGGCCTCATTTACTACTCAAATATATAGCATCCTTAATACTGCTTTTTAAAAATTATTTTGAAACAGATATTTCCCCCATTGGTCACAAGCGTAGGATGATGTTTCCTGAAAGTAATGTAATAATTAGAATGTTCTTCCATTTGTACTCATTGGAAAACTTGAAAACATTTCCATGATCGAAAAGTATGAGAATTAAACTGATGACAGTTTTATAAAAAATGCCATTTTCTAGGTTAAAAAAATGGCCAACCTAGAGAAGTTAAATATGTCACAATGAATGGCTTAAAGACATTTTTCCTTATGTGTAAATAGCAATTTCTTATCTTTTCTCATGTTAAATATATATTTATAATGTCTATGTAACTACATTGTGTAAAATGACTGGTACCTATCATGGATTTTATGTTGCTTAAAACATATATTTTGGGATTTAGTTCAGTCTTGTGGAAGCATATAGAAACTTAGACATGAATAGTAATGAAACTAGTCAATGGTTAAATTTGTTTGGCAATGTACTCTAAATTTTCTAAGACAGAAAAATCTGATGTTCAAACAAATACATTTAAACACTTGGCATCACAAAAATATGATGATGATCTTTGCCAATAATTCACTTTATCTGTTTATACACAAATTCTGTAAACATCTGTTTACATAAAAATTCACTATAAATTTTTAATTGTTCATTTTGGCCAAGAAGTTTTATACTTCCATTCTAGCATATCAGTTGTCATAAACTAAATGTAATAATTACAAAATAAATGTAATAAAACCCTACATTTGGGATTTGGTAAGCAATAAAACAAGTACATGTGTCAAGTTCTTTTCTTGATTGCACATTTTATATTGGAAGCTAAAAGTCACAAAACGTGAAAATAAATGTCTATCATTATTGTTGTTGTTATTATTATTATTATTCAGTAATTTACCATCAAACTCTAATACATCAAGAAGGTAGCAATTCCAAGCCAAGAAAGCCTTCACTTTCAAAAAAGTTGATAAAAGTTTTCTGAATACTTTACTGTTATATAAAGTTATACATCCATGCCAAGCTATTCAACATCATATAGCAACAGTTTTTTAGTAGTGGCCAGGATGTTACCATCAGTTAATTGAGGATGGAACTATGTAATGTAAGTAAAAATTCCAAGCTGGAAGAATTAACATAAATGTGTTTATAGTATGAAGAAGTTGTAGTTTTTGAAGCTGGGAAGGAAGAAGGAGTGAGAGTATTTTCCATTTTAGAAATGCTGAGGCACAAAACACAGTTGCTTCTAGAATTTTCATACATGAAATCCTTTGTCCTGTATGTGCATCATGTGTAACCGTAAAGTCTGTAAACTGCTCACTATTCGTCTCTGATGTCCAATAAGAGCAACTCCAATTCTTCTAATGTCACTGCAAGATAAAGGTAATGTTGGGAAATATTGGTTGAAGTACAGAAAATGCAAAGACAAATTGTTCCAAGCTGTTTTTAAACCTGAAATATTCAAACAATTCCATGTTGTTCTTCAGCCTGAAAACTATTAGAAAATGGAAATCATAGCTGTTGAGTAACTGGATTTGAAATGTAGTAGAAGTTTGCATTTTTAGACTATGGTTAGACTAAAATACAAATTTTCATTATATTTCAAATCCAGTTACTATTTTATTTTTATGAATGAATATTTGTTGACTTAACTCATGCCTGCCATTTTGTGATGTGTCCTTGCACTTTCTAAAATTCCAATCTTACCCACTCTTCTATAAAAGTTAGGAACCCCAGTAAATAATGTACTTACTCAATACTCATTCTTGAAACAAGATCCATAGATGTGTACCCTGCTGCCATGAAATTAGTTTTGTATTGGCCCATTTTTATTGAGTCCAGCCAATCACTGACTGATACAAAGAAGGGATATTCTGGAATTTCGCCAGGTGAATCTGGCATTCTGTGAAAAGAACAATATATTATTGATTTAGTTTTATGATACCTTCTTAGTACATTAGGCAAAATTAAACATTACACAAGCTATGAAATCTTGATATCTTTTCCTCTGGAGATTCTCAATCATCCAGATCATAGTTGTCTCAAATGAGCTGAAGATGAGACTTCAACATTTGGTTGCTACTATGTTTGGCCTTGGGTCCTGGCTAGAGATAGTGGAGGGCTATGCAGATATAAGCCTATATAATAGTTAATAAGGGACCTCTGATCCAATACTGGGGTGTATGTACACACACACACATGCATTAAAGCTTTTGTGACTCTTAATTTACACACACACACATACCCAGTAGAAGGAATTTCCTTATGAAGTCTTCCCTAGACTTTGAATGATTGTGAGAAGTTACAGGAACTACAGACCGCTAGACATATGAGTATATCATAAAACCAGGCATGAATACATAATAAAAGACATTTATACATGTGCCTTGGCCATTTCATAACTAAAATAAGTGCAGGAAGATAACTGATCAGTCTTTTTCTTTAAACTTGAATGAGAACTAATTTTAAAAAATGCAGGGTAATTATTTTTTTTTAACACAATTGGAATTTGTTGGTATATACTAAGTGACATGTCATTCCACATTACTGTTCTTTATAAGCATGTGATCCCTGGAGCAATGGAAGTTTATCATATGGAAAACATCCAAACTGGCCTTATGCATTAGGTATAGGGTATAACTGAAGGAAAAAATTAAGAATATCTGACATGATAGAGGAAACAAAAAGGAATGACGATTAAAAAATGATTGGTTTAATACAAAACAAAATCATCGTATATAATGCAATTAACATGCCTATTTGAAGGGTGATAATCATGCACGAACATACAAGAAGCATACTGAAATGGTTCTTACATTAGTACATCCTCAACTAAAGTATGAAGAGAGCTGGGATTTCGTATCAATTTGTCTAAGAAGCTGACAATGTCGATGAACTTTGGCCGATGGCTTCTTTCCTTTTGCCAGCAATGAAGCATTAGTTGATGGAGGGCAGCTGGACAGCCCATGGGAGCTGGAAGCCTATATCCTTCTTCAATGGACAGAATGACCTATGCAAAAAATGGGGGAAGAGATTTATTTATTTAATTATTTATCAAACTTGTATGCTGCCCATCTCGCCAAAGGCAGCTTAGGGACACAGAATAAAATGCACTGTAAAACATTAAAACGATAAATAAGGATCTTAAATTTAAAATCCGTTAAAATAAAACCAAGCAGGATAGAAAGGGAGGGAGCAAAGTGCACCCAGTGAGGAGGTGGGGTGTTTTCTACCCCATTATTCCCCTTCAAAGTGCCATATCCCCATTGGGATTCCAGATTAGTTAGCACAGCCATGTCTTCAAGGCCTCTTGGAAGCATTCCAAGTGGGAGCAGATCTGACCTTGGGGAAGCAAGAGATGCCAGCGGGTGGAAGCCATACCAGAAAAGGCTCTTCTTCTGGATCCCACTAGGTCACAGGTTAGCAACCTGTGGCTCCAGAGCTGCATGCGGCTCTTTGAGCCTTCCCCTGCGGCTCCCAGCCTCCTCTGCCATTTGCAGAGAGAGAGACAGAGACAGAGCTTCTCTCTCTCTCTCTCCCTCTCCCCCCCTCTCTCTGTGTGTAAAAAAGAGTAGCCTCACCCTATTCCGATGAGCTGCCAAGCTTATTGGGCGGGGCTCCTCCCTTTGCTGCATCTCTGCAGGAAGCAGGAAGCAGGAAGGGCAGGAGACAGCTAGCTAGCCCAGCTGTGCTGACTCAGGAATTCTGGGAGTTGAAGTCCATGAGTCATAAAAGAGCCGAGGTTGTCTACCCCTGAGCTAGCCCAATAAGAATGTGTGTCAGCTTGTTGGAGAACAGCTTGAAACCAGCTTGCCAGGTGAGCAGAAGATTGGAGAGACGAAGAGAGAGGGGGGAGAGAGAAAGAGAGAGAGAGAGGGAGAGAAAGAGAGAGAGGGAGAGAGAGAGAGAGGAAAGAGAGGGGGGAGAGGAAAGAGGGAGAGGAAAGAGAGAAAGAGGGGGGAGAAAAGAGAGAGAGGGGGAGGAAAGAGAGAAAGAGGGAGAGGAAGTAAGAGGGAGAGGAAAGAGAGAAAGAGAAAGGGACAGAGAAAGAGAGAGAGAAAGAGAGAGGGAGAGAGAGGGAGAGAGGAGAGAGAGAGAGAGACAGAGGGAGGGAGAGAGAGACAGAGAGAGACAAAGAGAGAGACTCTTTTGACATCTAAAATGAAGATAATACTGCATGTATCCTTTTTTACCTTTATTATATACTATATAAACTATTCCTAGTTTCCCCATAACTATAACCCTATGAAGTCATTCAGCCAGCTTTCCTGCCTTATTTTTGTTAAACCAGAACAAAGTACACCAGAGGTTTTGACAAGGGTTCTCAAACTGTAGGTCACCTATGGCTTAATAATATTTTTAAACTTGATCGAGCTTGCACAGACAAAATGAGAGTGTAGTCAAAATTCTGAAATTTGCTCTTCTTTGCAGTTGATACTTTGTCATGGCAGAATATTGGAGAAACTTTGCGATGAATAGATTAAATTTAATTATTAGAAATAAGTGGTATATTTCTTTCTTGCCCTCAATTTTATTTATGGTGTGAGAATCACACGAATTCATTTATCATTTAGGGGTACTACGATGTTTGAGAACCATTAGCTTATGGCTAGGCACAAAAAGAAAACTCTGCTGATGTATATTATATGCCAGTGGTGGCGAACCTATGGCACGCCTCCCCTGCGGCTTCCTCCTCACCAGCAGCTTCCCCGGAGGAGAGTCGTCCTGAGTGCAGCCCGCACAGAGCAGCGCAGCCAAGGACATGGCATGGGGACAAGACTCTGCCCTTGCATCCCATCGAGCGCAGTTGATTCTGCGGGGCATGAGCAGAGGGCGTGGCTGCCATGGCACTGCTGGGCCGCCTGGGTGATCTGTGGCGGGCCATGGAGGCAGTGGATGGCCCTGCAGGCAGGCGGGGGTGGAGCGGTGGTGGGCTGGGGGCAGGGTGGGCTGGGGGTGGGTGGGGGAGGGGTGGAGAGGGTGGGATGGGGAGCAGAGTGGGGGTGGGTAGGGGGGCAGGGCTGGTTTTTGGGCACTCGGTCTCTAAAAGGTTCGCCATCACTGTTATATGCTATGATTAGTCCTTGGGTTAGGACTAGTCACCTTTCAAAGTTGCAACGGTGATGAACAACTGGTACTTATGATGGGTCCTTGTAGTTCTGGTCATCGCAACATCCCCAGGTCATGTGATGTTTTTCAATGTTCCCACAAGCACATTTAATTGGGAAGCCAATAGGAAGTTGAAAGTTTTAGTCGCATGAGTTGCACTTGCTTATCAGTGGCAAGTGCAAGTGAGGAACAGCAGTTATTAAGATGCAGTCTCATGATATCATGTCTTACAATCCCCACATGCTAAATAATCATACCAAAAGAGATTGCAGTAGAAATGAACAATGAACAAGAGTTTCGCTTCTATCCTGAAACTTTTGCTTCAATTATGTTTCTCCCCAGGTATTAATCTTTGATGTCAAAGCTAAGAATACTAAATAATTTGACTTTAGCAATAGAATTTCAATGGTATTTGTTCTATGGCGATTTAAACTATATTAGTTGCAGCTAGTAGTGATCAATGGGGAATCAGTTTTTATTTTCCACTTTCTAACAGTATGTGGTAGTAACAGTGATTCCTATGCATGTTTATTCAGAAGCCAAGTCTTACTATATTCAGTAGGACTTATTACTAGTGTGCTCCTGGATAGTTGTAGTTTTTTTGTTTTCTTTTCAATAAGCAATGGAATAAATGCATCCTGAAAAAAATAATAACTGTAATAACCAGTTAAAACTTACATCCTGATTAGACATCTCCCAATATGGTCTTTCTCCATATGACATTACTTCCCACATGACAATTCCATAACTCCATGAATCGCTTGCAGAAGAAAATTTCCTGTAGGCTATAGCTTCAGGAGCAGTCCATCTTATTGGTATTTTTCCACCCTGAAAATATATATTGAAAAATTCTCAGTATTTAAATCTAACAAAAATACTCTCCAGTGAGTAATCCTACAAACATATTAAAATAAATGCAATTCATAACCGCTGACAGAAACAGAAATATTCTGTTATAATTCATGTATTAACAGAACATTACTTATCTAATACTGTATCATAACAAAACTAAATGCATTTTAGTTCTTTAAGGCACTTAATATTATGTTAACCATATTCAGATTGAATAGGTGGCAAATTATTGTCTTCACTTTGATCATGAATTAAAGTGCCATCATTATTGTTTTCTTTGAAAGTTTATATTCAAAGTATGATGCAAAGTAAATCCTTCTGAAGTAAAGTTCATCTATTTATCTAAAATGTATTGTGGCTCATCTGTATTTCGTAGTTATTATTTTCAAAACACATTTCTCTTTTACTTCTGCAAACATTCTAAACTGTGCACATTAGTTAAATTCAAGTCTAAACCATTTCTGCTTATAAATCATGTTTACTAAATGAGGATTGTAAATGTTACCAACACAGTATAATACACTAGCTTTCATGTAATTACCGTAGTTGTAAAATCTGCCAATTGTACATTACATTAATTATTTTGTTTAACAGTAATAAAAATAGCATTTTTGTTATCTTAAATATTAATGTATTTAACATGGAATAAGTTTTGGATCCAAATCCAAATAGCTGTCAAAATGCACCCTGGTTTATTAAGCTTTGTAGTGTAATATATTTGCTGGTCACAATTCTGTTAAGTAAATGAATATTCTATGATTTTTCTCTTTCAATTCATTTTTTAAATATTTTTGAATTTATTCCATTAATCTTCTTCCAGTTTAGCAGAACAAAAATTGGCTAGTTATATGGTCTCACAAGAACATGGCATAGTTTAAATGTCTATGATCACATATAACAGAAAATAGCTAAAATTGAGAAAAGAATTATTATGGGTACAAGCTAAATAAAAATACAACCTTTATTATTATTACTGCATAGCCAACAATACCTAAAGTTGTGTTAGATCTTAGTTCTTCTGTCTTTTGTTTCTATATGCCTTTTTTACATACCTGAATTTTCCCATTTCTCAAAACCTAAATTCTAATTCATATACGTCTTTACTTTTTAAATAGAAGCATTGCATCAGTATCCTTGTTTCTAAATCATTTTTGTTTGATATCTTTATCAATTAAATAAAAAAACCTGAAATGAGGGAGATCAGGAGACTCTAAAATAGAGAAAACTAATAGTATAGATGTATTTAATTGCTTGCAAAGTTCTAAAATCTGCATACTAACACCAACAATATAATAACCAAATAATGGAGCATTGCATGGTATGTTTTTTAATATTCTTTTGTGAAGGCTTCTGTTTGAGGCACAGATTCTTCCCCACTGCCAGTTTTAGTTTAGTTTTCTAACCTAGTTTTGAGGGTAAGCTTAAACTCAAAATCCTAATAATTTATTTTTTCTTTCTTTTTTATTGCATTTCTCTAAATTGTTATCTGGTTTATTGAATACTAAATAATTCTCTTGTAGAGTAAAACAATAGAAATGAAAATTACAAACATTCATTTAGAGAATTCCATAAAGATACATCTGTTCTGTATATGGCACATCTACAGCACTGTAGTGTAGTATAATCTCCTGTTATATACATAATGGCTAAAATTGCATCTTTAATATTTCATAGATGATGGTTCCTTTTGTAAACCCATAAGATGAACAGGTATGGAAAATTTCATTACTCAATTACTTTTTGTAAAGTATACTTTTATGCAAAAAAATCTGTTACCCTTTTTATACATACATATACTTAGTAAAACATGAAACTAAGCAATGTCTATTCATGAATAATAGAAGGATGTATTTGCTTCTGCATAGCTTAAATAATATTTATAGTGTTTGATGAAACTAGTAAAAAAACTTCAGCCCTAGTATGCTTCTCTTTCTGATAACATTGCTATAAATAAAATTATATTTATTAAAATTTATTGTTTACAGGTGCTCTATCACCAAATTAAAATAAATATGCATTTTTACCAATACGAAACTTATATATCAGATCATCCAAAATGGTCACTTTACTCCTAGACTGATTATCTAAGGCATATTTTAACATGTTGCAGCTGAACATAATTTCTTAAATTTATAATGAGTTTTGGGAAATGCAAATTTCAGTTTTCATACAAAAGGCATAACTAGAATTCACAGTTGCCCAGTCCAGTACTTTAACCAGTACACCAAAATGACTCTTATTTCTCCTGGTTTGTCCAAAACTAAAATAGCAGTTTCCTTGGGTTTGAATAACATATCAAAGTTCGGGTTCTGGTTAACAAGTCAACTGGCAAAAGACAATGGTAAATCTTGGGATGTACACACAAAGATACAAAGACACAATCTCATTAACTCTTTCTTTTCCTTAGTATATTGGGCAAACATAGAGACAAAGCACTATAAATTGTAGTTTTTTCCTAAGTTGGACAGATGACACCCAAAAAGCTTAAATAGGGAGGCAGAATCATAGACTTAATTAGTCCAGTACATTACATTAATATCTCTCTTCCTCCCTCACCATCCTATTTAATTTTTGTTGGCACAAAAGACATTCCAAAATTGATTTAAAAATAGAAGTAGCATCACTAAAAGAAAAGAAAGAAAATTCTAAGTGCTACCTGTGAGTATGACACAGTCTTGTATATCACTACTCCACCCAACCTACTTCACCCCAAAATAAAATTCATCCCTTAATCACCAGAAGATTGCTCCCTTTTCAGATAAATATATAAATTATCATCCAGAAAAAGAACAAAGGAATCCCATTCTTGTTTCTAAGATTTTCCAGAGTAGTATTAACAAAATCTTCCTAAATAGTTTTCCTGGTGTTGTCACTTAGGTGGGGATGGCCACTGCTTAAAAAAGTATGACTCCCAAAGCAAAATCAAAATATTCTTTTTGAACATCAAAGGGATAAATACAATATAGATGGTGGAAGAGGTTGGAAGGCAAAATCTGATTTTAGTGATAAAAATGCCTGCTGTGCAGTGGAACAATTGACTTAAATTTCTTGTGTGAGCTGCAAACTCAGGTATGCAATGTTGATAAAAATGACACCCCTTCCCCCATCAAAACTGGATCTCCTTGGCACCTCATACAGTAACAAGAGAAATTAGAGTCCATTTTAGCTGGCTGCATCTGGATTGCCTCAAAAGAAATATGGTACCCAAAATAATTCACAATAGGCAACTAAAAAAACATTAAAGCTTAGCTCCAGAAGTTGTTCTGGAGAACAACTGTCACTCTTCTGGCAGAGTCTTCAAAAGTAGCTTTGATACCGACCATAATACAAGCAAAATTATTCAGGACAGAATCATTATTTTTCCAGAAGAATTTTCAATTAACTCTTCCTCTGGTTAAAAGCCTAAGCATAGATTTTCCTCAGGAACATTCAGTGAGTAATTCTGCCTATGTGAAGGAGAGGTATAATTCATATAATTCATGCTTGGTGATAAACTTATTTGGAGCTTCATGAAATCCTGGGAAAGGAAAAGTGTTAGAAGACAACTGTGTACAAACTGAGAGTTATTAGACTTGTTCCATCTTTGATGTTATTTATTATTTATATCTATTAATTAATATGGCATCTACATTTGCAGGGCTACTTTTTTCTTATCTTGGAGTAAGATATTAGTAACCTGTACAGTGCTCAGTGGCCTAGCAACATAAGTCACTATGGGAAAGGAATTTGAAGCAAGGTGATTTTCCTTATGCTGGTAGTAAGAGTGGCAGACATTAACTGTCATGCTTCACTTCTTATGTAGGAATGAGATATTCCGGACATCTGAAAAGAAATTCAAGAATTACAGTTGTAATATTTTTGAATCAAATACAAAGCATAATGAAAGAATATCAATAGTCACATTCCTGCTGTTATGTGTATGTTGATGCCATAAAAAAATTCCTGTTTTGTGAATCCTTTTTAGGGAAATTGAAACCTGTTAACAGTCATTGAAATGGTGATAAGTTTCTTTGTCAAGGAAAAATTTTATTAGAAGAAACATTTGAAAATCAGTGAAGGTTAGAAATGCAACTGCATACATTAGCTTCAAACAGTCTATAAACAATCCTGCAAGTTTCTTTCAATAATAAGAAAAAATTCATTCGACATGTAAGGAACAAGACAAAACTTAAAGAAAAAATAGGCCCACTAATGGGAACAGATGGCAAGAAGGTGACATATATCAGAGAGAAAGCATAATTGCTTTTTTTCTTTACATATGTTTTAACATAAAAGGAAAAAACAGCACAACCACAGATGGAAATAGAACAGGTATACAAGTCAAAATAGGCATGGAATCAGTAAAAAAAAAAGAATACCTTTCTAGCCTGGGTCAGATAGTTTACCTCTCAGGATTTCTCCCAGTGGTGAGAAAAATAAGGTCCTACCAAATGCATAGGTATAGAGTAGGTGGTACCTAGCTCAACTGTAGTAACTGTGAGAGGGATCTAGGTATTTTAGTGGACCATGATTTAAGTATGAGCCAGTGTATTGCAGCTGTGAAAAAGTCAATTGAATCCTAGGATGCATCAACAGAGGGATATTGCCAAGACAATGAGAAGTGATAGAACTGCTTTGCACCAAGAAACCACACTTGGAATATTGTATGTAGTTCTGACTACCATGATACCACACACACTCACACAAAAGTGGAGACCCTGGAAAGTATGCAGAGAAGAGCAACAAAGATGACAAAGAGTCTAAATTGTATGACAAATGGTTGAAGGACCTAGGTATGACTAGCCTATCGAAAAGAAGGATCAGGGGGAATGTGATAACTGTTTTCCAGTACTTGACAGGTTGTCGCAAAGAAGAGATACCAGAGTGTAGGACAAGAAGTGATGGGTGGAAGCTTGTCAAAGAAAGATATAACCTAGTAGTAAGGAGAAATTTTCTCACAATTAATCAGTAGAATAGCTTGCCTCCTGGGGCTGTTG